TGTGTTTTTTTATTTTTTTTTTTTTTTTTTTTTTGGTACCAGGGATTGAACTCGGGTCCTTGCCCTTGCAAGGCAGGCCACCGAACCGCTGAGCTAAATCCCTGGCTCTGTATGTGTTCTTATTGACCCATTGTTTAAATTGGTTTGTGTTTTTCACTGATTGTAATGATACTTTATATATTGTAGATGTGAATTTCTTGTCTGATAGATAACTAACAAATATTCTTTCCCAGTCTGAAATTTAAAATTTTGATGAAGTTCATTCTGATTTTTTTGTCTTTTGTTGCTCATGATTCTGGTTCCATGTCTAAAAATCCATCCCCAGATGTGGGGCTATGAAGATTTACCCCTGTGTGTTCTTTGAAGAGTATTATAGTTTTAGTGCTAATATTTAGGTCTTTGAACTGTTTTGCATCAGTTTGTACATGTGGAGTGAGGTTAGGGTTCAGATGTGTGCTTGTACATCAGAGCTAGTGGAAATCCAGTTGTCCCAGCACGGTCTGTTGAGGAGGCCATTTTCTCACGTGGCACAGTCTTGGTACCTTTCAACATGAGCTCACCAGCCACACGTGGGCTTTGGGTCCTTTATCTAACCTCCCCGCCCTTGTGTTTCTGCTCTCAGGGGTCAGTATTTGGATTATGAGAAGGAGGAAGTGGAAGCACAGCCGAGGCAATGGAAGAAATACGACTTCCACTACGACAATGTGCTGTGGGCCCTGCTGACGCTGTTCACGGTGTCCACGGGAGAAGGGTGGCCTATGTGAGTGCTGCAAGCTCAAGACAGTTGTTAGCAGAGAGGAGGCTGAGGCAGGCACTTGTGAGCTCTGCTCACCCCTTCCAACCCTAACATCCCTGGCCCCCATCCCTGGTCTTCACCACACCTGAACTGTCCCTGTAGTGCAGGTTCGAATCTCTTGGAAGCTCTCCTGATGTCTGCCATCTGCTTGGCAGGGTGCTGAAACACTCTGTGGACGCCACCTATGAGGAGCAGGGGCCAAGCCCTGGGTTTCGCATGGAACTCTCCATCTTCTATGTGGTCTACTTTGTGGTCTTCCCCTTTTTCTTCGTCAACATCTTTGTGGCCTTGATCATCATCACCTTCCAGGAGCAGGGGGACAAGGTGATGTCCGAATGCAGCCTGGAGAAGAACGAGGTAGGTGGATGCTCTGTGCACTCTTCGATGGGCAGCGTGGGTAGAACCACCAGGCTTTCTGTTCATACCCAGGACAGGCAGGACCTCCTTCCTTCCACAGAGAAAGGCTGCTTTTGGTCAGTTAGTACCTGCTTAGAGGAGGCCTGGGCTGCCTCTGGGCTCCACCTGGGGCACCATGGGACAACACTGGGTACAGTTGGGCCACAGGGCTGGGCGCTTCCTGAATTCAAGGTGCTCTTTCTCCCTATGCAGAGGGCTTGCATTGACTTCGCTATCAGCGCCAAGCCCCTGACACGATACATGCCTCAAAATAGACAGTCGTTCCAGTATAAGACGTGGACGTTCGTGGTCTCTCCGCCCTTCGAGTACTTCATCATGGCGATGATAGCTCTCAACACTGTGGTGCTGATGATGAAGGTATGGGACAGCTATGGTGGGTGACTGGGTGGCGCCTGTGGAGGTCAGGATCACTGACTCCTCCCTGCCCGGCCTTCTGCCTGGTGGCACACCCTGGGGCTGTCGTGGCTTCACAGGCTGCCCAGCACAGGGAGCCTATGGTACACTAGCCTTTGTTGTCTGTGGCTGACACAGTGAGAAGGTTCTGGGAGAACTTGGGGAGAGTAAGGAGGGTTGTCCTGGGCCCGTGCAGGTGTGAGTTCTGCCTGCCCACTGTCCTTGGTGGCCCCAAATGAGGCATCTGGGGCTACTGAACTCTCAGCCATTGACACTCATTCCTTGGACAGTTCTACGATGCACCGTACGAGTATGAGCTGATGCTGAAATGCCTGAATATTGTGTTCACATCCATGTTCTCCATGGAATGCGTGCTGAAGATCATCGCCTTCGGGGTGCTGGTACGTGCCTTGACTCTGTTTTTGCCTTTTGGCGGCCTACATTTTGGCTCCCCGTTTGGGTGACCTTTGGGGGCTCAAAGTTTGCATCTGGGAATTCTCTGAATCCTGAGAGCACACATGACACTGTGGGAACTCCAGGAGAGGGGCTGTGCTGGCACTGTCCACTGCATGAGTCTTGCCTCAGCATGGTCCTGGGAGATGTCTCTCAATTCTGCATCCTCCTGGGCCAGAGGTATCGTCTGCTGCTACCTGGCCTTGCGCTGGGATTCCATCATCCTTGCCCTTTCTTGATCAAGGGCCACCACCTACACCAGTTACCAGCACTAACTGCTCTTCTTTTTCTCTAGAACTATTTCAGAGATGCCTGGAATGTCTTTGACTTTGTCACTGTGTTGGGAAGTATTACTGATATTTTAGTAACAGAGATTGCGGTAAGTAGCATTTCTTTGTCTCCTCTCTGGGGACCCAAAGTGGTTTCCTTATAGAGGGTTTTCCCCTCTGTGTATCTCCAGGACTGATAGAGGTGCCTCCCCAGAAGAGGAGCTTGTGGGGATGGATGTTGTTTTGGCAAATGTTCTTTCTTGGATAAGAAACTGGCTCCCACAGGTCTTCCAGGCTGGTGGCCTGAGCATTCTCTGGAGCTCCATGGTAACAGCTGACCAAGGAGACATCAGTCTTTAAATTTGTATGTGTCTGATTAATATATATCTACTAAATTAGTCTCGAAAATACATGTATCATGTCTCATTAGTGCAAGGTCCTGAGTTTGATCCCCGGAACCAAAAAAGAAAAAACCAAAAACATCAAACCCAGTAAAATGTCAGGTTTGTGAGATAGATCAGTTTGTTTTTCTGTCTACCTATATTTGTTATCCATCTCTATTATCTGGAGATATTCATATCAGAAGCATGGGTTATATCTGAAAATTGATCAGTGCTGTGACATAAAGTCACCTCAACATATGTCAAACTGTCTGAATTTAAAAACATTTTTGTTTTTGTTTTTTGGTACAAGACATTAAGTTGAAAACATAGAAAATCTGCTTTGTTTACCTCAGTTTGAATTCTTTGGGAGTAGATGCTGAAATGAGGGTTCATGAAGAAATTACTTCTTTAGAAGAAAAACCAGTGGCTGGGGAGGAGGAGGAGGACCAGCGGTGCCCCATCTTGAGCCACATTCAGGGCAGGGTGTGGGCCCTTCCTCAGGGGAACTCTGAGATGGGGTAGGTCACCTCTCAGAGCTGGCCCTGCAGGGAAAGGGAGCTGTGGATTTGTCTGCCTTTGCATTGTATGGGGCTGTGGGCTCTACCAATGGTCAGTCCTCAGACACCCTCACCTTCCCTGAGTGAACTGCATGCAGTCATAACAGGCCAAGGGCCACTGCGTGCTATCATCTAGGACTGTGGTGTAGAGTGCAGGCTCTTGTCTGGCCCTGCCCGGCTCTACCCACACCTTATACTGGGTATGTTGTGCATTCTTTAGAAGGTACCGGCTAAGTGCTCTGGGAGACAGACGAGCTCCCTGCTGTATTGGTCCATGTGGAGCTGATGTCATTCTCTTGTCCCTCCACCATTCCTGCTAGAGCCCCTTACCTGTGGTGAGCCGCCTTCTGCACTTGCTGGCCTGATGAGGTGCCCAGCCTCTGCTTGCCTGTTCCCTTGTCTGATTCTGGCTGTTGTAATGTCCAGTCACCGTTAAGACTGGCTATAGGAAACTAGGAAGGCCCTGTGGAGTTCCTTGGCTCCCAGACAGACTTCTTCCTGCTCCATTACGTAGCAGCAGCTTTGCCCGTCACAGTATTCAGGCTCAGTACCCTGGCCGGTAAGGAAACTCTTCATTTCCTGCTGGCCTTCTGGCCTGAGCATTCCTGACCTGTAGCTTTGTCTAACCCAAAGTTACGGTGAAGATGAATACTTAGTCCATATTGTTCCTCTGGAGAGCTGGTGAGAGGCCACCCTTGTCTTCCATATCCATGCACTCTGATGATTACTCACTGTGCTATCCCACCTTAGCCTCCTGAGGTACATTGCCGGCCTAGCATTTTATCTATGCTTTGGATTGTTTCAACATTTTATCTGGGTGCTGTGGTGCTTGAGACACCAGTGGATCATCCTTTCACCACTGACTCCTTGAACCAACTTTGCTTGCCAGGAGTTGATATTATGTAGACTTCTGTGTTGGTCAGTCTGAGGCTAGCTCGCAGACCCCCACGCAGACCAAGGTGCCTGGGACATTGTGGCGCCCAGCTGAGGAAAATTATTGCCCCTTCCAGGTGAAGGGTATGTGTGATCATCACACCACTGAGTGACTAGTTGTAGCTTCCTCTACTCCTGTGGCACTGTATGGAGGCATGCTATGAGCAAGTAGTCAACACTAGCCAGGGCTAGCTCAGCCTTGCCTGGAGGGTCTTGGCCATCATAACCCTTCCCTTCATGGTTCTGTGGTGTACCTGTTGGGAATGTGAGGGCAGAGGCTGCCTGGCATCTGTTGTTAATGCATTAAATATTTTTTTTCTCCTATGGTCCTAGGGATTGAACCCAGGACCTTCAGCATGCTAGGCATACTCTAGCTCTGGACTATATCCCTAGCCCTCTGTATTTTAAAAATTTTGAGACACAGTGTTGCTGTGTAGCCCAGGCTGACCTTAAACTTAATGACCCTCCTACCTCAGCCTTCCAAGTAGCTGGGATCACAGTTTGTACTGCTGTGCTCAGCTAGTAACACTTAGTTTTGAGTGACTCTGCAGCCATGGTTGCACTCTTGTGGGCGTCTTTGTGCAATGCAGAGTCTTGCATGCCACGCTTATTCCAAGGCCCACCTATATGCCTTTTCCCCAGACACCATTCTCACCAGTCCCTGGGCCAGACTTTTGCCTCTGCCTCGGTTCTTCGAACCCTTAGGAAGGCAGCTGCTCTGTCCACACACACAGTGGCTGAGCAGGGCACTGCTTCACCACTGTCTTTCAGGCTCCCTGTGCGGAGTTCTACTGAGGCCTGCACCTATGCACCAAACCAGTTCATCCATAAACCAGCTCCCCCAGGGGCTGCCCCCATGGAGCAATGGCAGGGTGAGCCCAGGAAGACATTGATGTAAAGGGTGTATGAGGGAGATTCTCAGCTTACAGTTGGTGCCCACCACTGACTTGAGTGGTGCCATGTCCTTCTCCCCAAAGTGTCCCTGTGCTGTCACTCTGGGAACTAGTCAGCTGGTGGGATATAGTAGGTCCTTCTGGCATGTTCACCTCTGTGTGTCTTTATACCCCATTTAGATATACCCAAGGTAAGAGTGTCAGTGTTTTCACTGCTAAGCACACCAGGCATTACTGTCATGTTGCTTTACCACCAAGAGAAGAGAATCTAGCCAGTGTCTTAGGGTCAGAGCCTGTGACCCCGATGCAACTTACTAGGAAATGTTCCATCTGTGGCTGGTGAAGAGTAGGGCCATTGGATGAGGAAGGAGCCGGTGTCATGCAGCTCCATGGCATACTTGTGGCTTAGAAGGTACAAGACAGAATTGTGACGACACACAGGTGTGAGGAAGAAACAATAGGATGTTTTGAACTGCTTCAGTCAATACATTTGAAAACCAAAGTATTAAAGGAATTGAATCAGTAAACTTTCTGCAAAGAAAACATCCTAGTCTTGTGGGTACTACACAGTATGTCTCTACCTAAACTACAAGGAACTGACAATTCCAGTGTTAAACAATTTTTTACCAGAGAATAGAAAAAAGAATGGTATTACCTGATATTATGTGTTTAGTTTGTTGTTTACTTGTTTAACTTTATTTTGAGACAGACTTGCTGTGTTGCCCAAGGCTGGGGTCAGACCCTTGAGCTCAAGCGATCCTCCTGCTTAGTCGTCCAGGTAGCTGAGATAGGCACCATTGTGCCTACCTCTGCCTAGTGTGATCTTTTTTTTTTTTTTTTTTTCTGGGGTTTAGCTATGAACCTGCTCTGAGA